CAAGTTTTGATAGCTGCACCCCAGCTTCCTTTCAAATGAGGAAATTGAAACTGAAATTCTGTTCTGCTACTGGATTTTTTTTTATTTAGTCACACATAAGCTCAGTAGCAATAACAGAGAAAAAGTCATACACACACAGAATAGCCCCAGTGCAAAGTCCATCCTCTCTCAACTTGACCCAATCTGTTTTTTTCCCCTCAGCCTAAGTTTGAGCTTGTTTCAGCAAGCAGGCCCTGCCTGAAATATTGTAACAGATGGACTCAGGTTGACATCAGCCAGGTGCTAAGAATATCTGGCATTTAAATGATCAGAGTTTTATTGCCCATTTCCATTAATTTCAGCTGACTTTGAATAAATGTCAGTGAGCTCAGTCTGCTTGAATCCACCTTTGACGGCTCCTTCCCAGCTGCACCCGTGCCCAGCCCTTCCATGTGCTTTGTCATTCTATTGGCACCCTTGTCTCCTCGCCATTTTGGTTACTTGGATGGAAAATGGTATCTGAGTAAGAATTAGTCACTGCTAGGTGGTTTGATCATCAACTAGTTCTTTAAAAGAAACGCCTAGCATAAATATATTATATTTTGTATATACATGAAGCTGAAAACATCGCAGATTGGACATTAAGTAAATAACGACTAAACCCCAGGCTATATTACAAATGAAGAGCATCTTACAGAAATATTTTACTCAACTCATTGAAATGGTAACTCACCATTATTAGTCCCAACATAACTTCCAAGAATGACAAATAACAAATTAAAAACCAAGTTATAGTCACATGTAAACTATTTCTACATTTATCCACCTATAAAACACTTACTATATTGCCTCCTTCCTTGAAATAAAGCATGAGCTCTTAAGACCTTACGACTTAAAGTCCTTTTAAAACATTTTCATATTGACTGTATTACAAGAGTATGCTTGCGGCTTTATAACCAGCCATTTACAAGGCAGCATTATAAAAAAAAGAATTTATTACTGTACTTGCTGAGCATCTCAGAAAAAGCACATTCCTTTTATTGTGGGCGGAATGACAGCTCGCACGTCAAACAGTACCTGTTTCGGCAGCACACAGAACAGAAGATGATACAAAGCCCTATCACCACACATAAGCAAACTGTGGTGCAGGACACAGGAGAGTAAGTCGGAAAATTATCTCGATCAATTATCTTCACCAGAAGGCCCTGCAAGCTACCTGAGCAGAGCAAGCTTATATACATACACCGCAGTGAACACAGACACACGCATAGCACTGGGGCACTTCAGAGAGAAGTTGCCGGAAACAGCCAGCTGTATTCAAAGAAACTTGTCACCTTTCTCTGACTTAGGTCATTAGTTACAGCACTGGTAATCTTTGTTATTTCTGTTTTTAACTAGAATGCATTACTTATTCACTTAGTTTTATGCCCAGAAACAGAAGTTAAACACAGCCTGTTTGTTCCTTCTCTCTCATTACAGACCAGAAGCTACTTTTAATGCTGAAATGAAGATTGCAGAACAGCTGCTTAGAGAGAGGAACATTTTGGCCATTAGCTGTAAAGGAAGCTCTTAGGAAAAGTGGTATGCGTGGCCCAGCGTCACATGAGAGCCAGCTTTGACTTTGTCTTTAAAGCACCAGTGGCCCCTGAAGCCTCTGAACTGCAGGGCCTGTGCTGTAAAAATCAAACCAGCAGCCTGGTTGCCACAGAAGAGAAGGTTTATCTGATTTTTATAAAAATGCTACTGAAAACAGGCTAAACCAAACAAGAAAGTTGGAAGGATACATTTTGACACAAACTCACGTCATAACTCCAAGCTACTGAGGTAAAGCAATGCCTCGATTATAAAAAGAACAGCAGCCCCATGTTCTACTTAAACTTTGCCATTTATCTTTGAGTAACCTAGACAAAAAATGAATCACCTTTTACACCTTAATTTTACTAACTCTTAAGAGATAACACCCAGCAGTAGCAACCTACACATGATGTGCAGGAAATATTATTGCAGCGTATTTACACTATTGTATGTTACGCTTATTAAGCAAAGAAAAACACTTCCAAAGGGAAGATCAAATGTATTGCTTGCCCCTTTGCCTGCATATATGGACTACCCTGCTGCTCAGTGCTGCAAGACAGAGCCTGAAAAGGCACACAACAGCAACAATTATTTAAAGTGATTTGGAAGTCTCTGGAGGTAACAATGGTAATGATTTTTATTGAGATAAAACTGTTATAAAACTCCTATTTTTTTAAAGACAGCATTTTTTCCAGGTGACAATGTTGTGGGTTTTTAAATAAGAGTGTGAGGAAATCCCAGATTAATGTCTTCGTTGTTTTCAAAAGGTAAAACATAAAACAAGTTTTTCAGCAAACACACAATGTTTCAGCAAACATTGCCTATTCACGAAGTATACCATGATGATTTACGAAGAAGTTGCACTTCCTTATTTTAATACAAGATGATCTAACTACACGGTGGTTACAAATTATTTCACGCTGCAACATCCTGTCAGCTTGGCAAATAATCATCTTGAAACTTCGCAGATGCTAGTTTAATACATTATCTCCCTCTTTGTGCAGTATTCGGTCTTTGAAAGAGCCCGTTAGCTCCTCACATGGCGCTTTACAGAGACTGCATTTAAGAATCTGAATACCGACTGGGCTCTAATTAGAGAAGAAAAGAGCAATCTTCGGCTCAGCTGGGTCCCAGTTTTCATCTGAAAAACCTTTTTGGTTTCAGTAAGGTCTGTAACTCCGCTTTAACAGTACGCCTATGTCTTTGGAACTGCTTGTGAACACAGATGCTTCTCACCCAGAGCATCAAATCCAGCCCAAAAGCACAGCAGAAACAAGCGAGCAGCGCAGACAGCGGCCAACGCACACTCACTGCTCGTGAATACAGGTCCTCACGCCTTGGTAAGTCAAAGCAGCGCCGCTGCGGTCGACTCCTTGTAACCTGGAGGACCACCAGTTCCGTTGGCTGTCTGCTCTTGCACACCTCGATGCCCAGGTTGATTTCTTATGATAATGAAACAGTCTGATTTACACAAAAAAATACTTCTATCTAGAAAGAGTCCCAAATGACGCCTTCAATACAAAAGCCCTGCAGATGCTTAGTGCAGTTTGACTATTAACATTATATTAATCCAAAACACCACACAAACCCAGGTAGGCTGGATCCTCTCCCAGAAAAATAAAATGTAGCTTCAACACAAACCATGAGACTGAGGGAGGAATCCCTGGATGAAGCATTTCAGCCTATGTTTTACAGCCTTCATAATAAATTTAAATCAGAATGAGTCATGTTGATAAATTCTGTAATGTTAAATCCAAGTCAAAGATGTAACCCAAGAATAAATCTAAGAACTCAATTTAGGTTTGGGTTTTTTTAAAAATAATTCCATGGGGGATATTGTATTTTTCTTTTTTTTTTTTTTTTTATCTAAGAGCAACTGGCAATTACAAACACCCACATTAACAGGAGACAATGATCATCTGTCTCTAGGCTAACACCTAAACTAATTAGCTCTCAACCAGCACCTGCTCTTTCACTTAGCACAAACCATGAGAACATAAATATCCACATACATTAGGGAATGAAGTACCTTCCCTGCTTACTCTTAATGGTGTTGACATTAGCTTCATTAAGAAAAAAATTAAGAAGTTTAATGGCTGCTTTACAAGAACCTCCAATGACCCTAATTGCTGTTAGTAATGGCTTCTGGAAGCACAAATAACATGCTATAATGGCCATTAGAAATCAGTATTGGCTTACTGTTTTCAGAGTGGTATTCCACATACTCCTCATTTTTCATTCTACATTTCTGGACAGGGGGAAACTGTCAACATGTCGGTGACTTTGGCAAATACTAGTTTTAATGTCAACTGCTGCAATGAAGATTTTTTTCAAAAGTACTTCGTTCACTATACACACAAACATACCAGGAGTACACTGTCTCACGGGTCTTAACACAGACCTGCAACACATTCATGTAATTTTGAAGGTCAATTTGAAGGTAATTTGAAAGGTCAGGATACCTAAACAAACAAAACAAACCCCCTCAACACACAACCACACTGTTTGTTTGTTTATTTCTGACCTAGACACAATCATTAAACCCTCCTAGAAACTTTCTCTTCCTCTCCTGGAAACCTGCTTATTTAAAAAAAATATTTAAAAAATAGTATTTAAAATATGACAACACCACATTATTCTTATTTATTCTCAAAATACGCAATAGCTATAGAATTTCTTTGTGGTACTTTTCCTTTTTAGACATGAAGTAAACAAGTTCTTTTTTTTTTTTTTTAAAGGAGAGTTCCTTTTAAAGTTCCTAGCACCTTTTCTTCCTTCAAAAAAAAAAAAAGAAAAAAAAAAAAGACCCCCACATCACGCATCACGAATCTTAAAACAAAGCAGTAAGGTCACTAATGCAGGTACAATTACATCCTATTTCCCACTATGAAGAAATTTTCATATTGCAGTGTCCAGCACAGGACGCTTTATTTCCTATAATAAATCACAACCACCTCTGAATCAAACCCACAGTTTTCAGATGAATTTGCATAGATTTTCCCCACCTTGTATTTGCACAGCACTTAGCACAGTGTGGTCTTGGTCCATAACCAAGCATGTCAGGCACATGTGCAGTGCAAATAAAATATAACACACCTGACAGGAGAAAAGCAGCTTTCTACGCCGAACCAAATTCAAACATTACACCACATCCAAAAATGCATTCAAAGTCTCTCTGCCGGTCTTCAGCACTTCTGCTGACCACATCATTACTGGTCATAGAAGTTGTCTCAGGTTCAAGGGACTTTAGCATAGTGCTGGGTCGTTGGCGACGATACGCCCCTTAATAAATACTTTAGCTGCCACCCACAAACATAAGAGCCTAGTAATAATGATCAAACACTGTACTATAGGTATTAGGACGTTTTAATCCCTTTCTAAACACAGAGCACTCACTTGTTCCAGAAATGCCATAACATGCCCTACCGAGATTAGAAGTGACTTACCTATCCCGCAGTAAAAAAGACACGTTCTTCTGCAGATATTGCATGTTTTCCCTGCATATTTAAGTACCTCTTTCAGCAATTTAAAGCCCTACTATGCTAAAAAGTACAAGCAAAAAAAAAAAAAAAAAAGATCCAAAATACTCTGTGACAGAAGAGTCAGCTTTTGACTTTTGAGGGCACTACTATGCAAGAGAGAAACCCAGGGCATAACTCCTCCATTCATCCGGTGTGCAGAAACATACGTAAATTATCAGGCCTCAGGGTTTACTAAAACTGCCTTTTCCAAGCAAAATCAAACTCGGAGGAAAGTTTACGGGCCTGCAGATTTGTCC